GGTGTGGGAACAGCCTGGGGACTGACAAAGGTGATAGTTGCATTCTTCTGTTGCTAATTTGTCTGGAGCAGCTGCCTCTCTTTTGCTCAGTAGGTTATACACAGACTCAGCTGCTTTATGGTAGCAACAGAAAGTCTGACTGGGGAGAGCAGAAGATCTAGCTTGCACTGGCCAGCCTCAAACCTTAGCCTAATCTTACTAAATATGGTATGATACAGATCGATAAGAGTGCAAAAGTCTTCCTGGCGCCTTGAAGCTAGACAGAATGTGTATGACCAAAAGCACAAGACCAATTTACCACCCTGTGTTATCTGCTGAAGGTGTGAGAAGGTGCTGTTGGTTGGTTCTAGGAAGTGGATCCAAGGGAGGGAGAAGGGTCATGACTCCAGGGTCTAACCCGTGGCTGTAGCACCAGCTGGGTCCATGCAGCATCTCTTGTTTCTGCCCGTGGTGCTGTGTAGGATGTTTGCTGCCTTTTCTGTCTACAATGATGACTTTTGAAAGCTCTCTGATAACCATGGGGGAACAGGCAACGTTACCCACCGACTTGTACACGTGTTGTTGACTCAGCTGAGTTTCAGCTCTGCCTTTGGCTTCCCCAACCCTTGAATATACATATTTTTTTTTTGTTCATTTTGAGAGTAAGAGGAAGGCAGAAAGAGAATGCTGCAAAAAGGGCTGTGTTGCAAATGTGTGATTATGAAAATACTTCCTCCTGAAGCATTTTGCTGCCCTTATCTGCCAGCATTCATTTGAGATCAGCAGAGTTGCTGGTCCAAGCACCTGCTTTCTGGAAGGATGTATCTCATGCAGTCAGTATTGTAGTTTGGTCTGTTCTATCTTGCTGACCTTTCCCTGATCTGGTTCAGATGCACTATGCAAAACAGCCCCTGCTTTGCTTTGAAAAGCAGTTCAGACAAGAGCAAACACCTCTTCACTTGGCCAGGCTGGGAACCTTCCAGGGAGGCTGCTCCTCCAGCAGAGCAATGGTTGGCTGTTGATCTTCCCTGGTTTCATTGTCCATTTCTGTTGTGTTGCCTTTGCTCAGCTCAGCTCCCCTCTTGCCTGGGTTGTTTATGCTTTTTAAAAAAATGAGTAAAACGTGGCTCTCCTAACCATGCATCTTGCCACTGAAGTGTGTCTGCCTGTGCTAAGTCAGTGAATGAAAACCTCCCTGTAAAGCTCTGGCTTGGAAATGAGCAGTTACTGCTGTTGCAGACAAGCTGCCTCTCACTCCTGCTTGACTCTCTCCAGACCTCAGAGCAGATCTCTGAAGGAGTCCTGCACAATCCAGCAGGACAGGCCGTCCTGCCACCCACCCTTGTTGACTTGTTCTCTTAATGAGTTGATGTTTCCTTGGAACAAATGGCACAATAGAGCTGTGCTGGAATGACTGCAGCTCCTTCTCCCCTGCCTTTGTGCTCCCAGCACCCCAAAGGGCATTAGAAAACATGAGGCTGGGCCCCAGTACTTTTGTTCACCAGTGATTTCAAAAGGTTTCTCTTCCATAGGGACAATAAACTCCCTTTTCAATTTAACTTGCAGTGCAAGGAGGAAACACTGCATGAACCAAACAAAAGCCAAGGTATATTTTTATCACAGGACCTGAAGCTGAGACTTTTCTTTTTTAAAAATGTAATGCTGGGAATGGTGATGATGCATCCCTTCCAAATGCCCTTCTCTGTAGCCACCAGCCAGGACCTGGAGAGGACTCATCCTCTGGGTGCTCCAGCTCCTTGTCAAGATCAAGTTTTTGAAAGCTGAGTGCTCCAAACTACTCACAGCTATGTCTGGCCACCTACAAAAGTGGCCTGATTTTCACAACTGCTGAGTGCAGTGGGAGCTAGTTGATGTATTCTGCTCCTAAGAAAATGAGGTCACTTAATTAGGTGAGTAGCTCTGGCTTAGGTGCTTGGATTAACTCATGCTGGGTAGCAAGTGTTGGCTGCAGTATTGCAGCTAGTGCTAAGAAGTGCTTTTATGATGCAGATGCACCAGAAAAGGAAAAAAAGCCAGAAAAGAACTTATTTTTCAGGATCTACCAAACAAGCATTGCACAGTGACCATTTCTGGTTATGAAAATATGGCATCTGGATTCAGATAAGAGGTGAAAAGCTTTAAGCAGCATTACTAGACCCTTGAGCCACCCAATTCCTCCATCTCTTCACTTCTGCCACCTCTGAGATGAAGTATGGGGAATTGATTTGATAATGCACAGCAACACGTATTAGCAGTTTTGAACAAAGAAGATCCTACACCCCACAGCAGATCTGGAGAGAGAGGATTTAGGGAAGGGGAAAGATGATCCTAATAGCAGTGTCTTCTAAAACCACTGCAGGTATGTTAAGCCAACATGTCCCCTCCCTGGCAGTGTTGAAGGGCAGGTTGGATGGGGCTTGGAGCAGCCTGGTCTTGTGGGAGGTGTCCCTGCCCATGCAGGGGATGATCTTAAAGGTCCCTTCCAACCCAAACCATTCTGTGTCTATATTATTATATTATTTATTTATTTATTTATTTGTTCCTGAACATCAAAAGCCTCCCTGTGACACTCTTCAATGTCAAGTCACAAGGCAAGTCTTCCTCCACTCAACTACTGGTTAAACAGTATCAAAATACTGCTAGGAAGCATCCCAACCAGGAGATGACCCCTTAGCCTGAAATGTTACAGCAGAACCAGCTTGTTGCCCTGGAATATATATATTAATGTGTAAATGGTGCCCATTTTAACCCCAGCCCACTTCACAGGGCAGCACACAGCTCTGCTTGCTACAGAACTTAACTCATTATTATTGAAGGATTTTTTGCTTCCTGAAATTTTGGGCTAGAAAAAAAAAAAAGGCAGCAGGGGAATATCAATTCAGGTAGGAAATATGCATCAATAAGCATCAAGGATAATGGCAAAATCCCATTTACTTCAGAGGAAATGACTGTAATGGGGAATGATGCATTAACCATCAAGAGAACCTTCAGTCTCAGAAGTGTCACAGAGAAACTCTTCCTCTCTGGAAGTGCTCAGCAGTGTCCAGTTGGAGCAAGGAGGGTGTGTAGGGCTGCCAGGGGAGCTGGGGAGCACAGGGTGATGACCTGCCATGCAGGAAGGTTCATGCAAACAGAGGAAGAGCAAAGGGATGGGGGTGAACTATTTTGAGCTCGTTGTTTATCTGCACCTGCATTATACATCAGCACTACACAAGTATGCAAAGGTTGGGGTGTTGATGCTGATGTGCAGGCTGCTGTGCTGGGGCAGGGAGGGTGAATGGGTTTGTGCCCCGTGGCTGTGCAGGGTCTCCAGGGCCAGCAGGGTGGGTTGTAGGGCCTGAGCCATCCCAGACCCTGGTGCTGGCCCTTCATGCACACACTGAACAGAGCAGGGAGTGCTGCAGGCAGCCTCCTCTCCTCCTCACACCTCCAAACACAGCAGGGCTGAGTCACACTGCTGGTTGGAACCCTGGGGTCCAACCAGCCTGCTTGTTCTCCAGAAGCAATCTCTAATTTATAGGAAGTTGGCCCTTCTGGCTGCAGCTTAGGGCTGAATTTCCCCATTTCCATTGGCTCCCCCTTGGCTTTATCAGAGG